AATCACAACTACTGGCCCCCGGTCCTTGAAAAACTGTCTTCCATGAAACTGGTCCCTAGTTCCAAAAAGGTTGGGGATCACTGGATTAAAGAAACAAATTGAGAGGCACGCTCAACAACTTCAGGTAAGAACAACAGGAGTCTTTAACCTAGCCATAGGCTATGGTCATACCCCAACTCCCATTTCCCAAGAAATCTGACCAGGCCAGGGCTGGCCATGAAAATCAGTAGCTCTGCCACAGGGAAATGATTTGGAGCAAAAGGGCAAGAGGTTTTGTCAGTCAAAGTAGCAAATTCAGTAGGAAACAAATGGAAAAACCCACATCACAAGGCTCCTTTTCCCATGAAAGTGTATCACCTTCTGAGTCTGTTTCCACAAACCCAGCAGCTGAAAACACCATAAATTTATCACTTAATAGTTCCGTATTTCAGAAATTCAAAATGGGCCTTCCCGAGCTAGAATCAAGGCGTCAGCAAGGCTACCGTCCTTTCAGAGGTTCTGGCGGAGAACTCACTGCCTTGCTTTTCTAGCTTCTAGAGGTTGCCCATGTTCCTTGGTCCCCTTCCTCCATCTTCCAAGCCAGAATCACTGTATCTCTCTGCCCATTCTCTCCTCGGCCCCTCTTCTTCTCCTTCTGACCTTTCTGCCTCCCTCTCACTTTTAAGGGCCTCTGTGGTTACTGGGCCCACCAGATAATCCAGAACAACTTTCCTATTTTAAGGTCTGCTGATGAGCAACCTCAATTCCATCTGCAGCTTTGACTTCCCGTCGCCATGTAACCCAGCACACCCACAGGCTTCAGGAACTAGGATGAGCACATCTCTGGAAGGCTGTACTATGCCTACCACCCAGGGCAAACGGCAAAAGAGCCTGGAAGTGAGAGAACCGACGAAGGACGAGGTAAGCCACCCACACGCTCCTGGCTGAGAGTGCGGGGGCCACAGGAGAAGGCCCTGCACAAGGCAACAGCAGAGGGAGAAGTGAGAAACGGCTTAAGGCTGACCGCGCTCTCCAAACACCCGCGGACCCCGTCAGCAGAGGGCAGAAGCCTCACGGGACTGGGCACTCGGGTAAAACCTCCACCCGAACACTGGCTGAGCGCTAGGCTACGCAGACGCAGGGGGTGAAGTCTAGGAAATTTAGTCCATTGAGGCTGTTACAACAAAACCACCACAGACTGGATGGCTTAAATATGATTGATTTCTCAGTTTCGGAGGCTGGGAAGACCAAGATGAAGGCACAAACAGAGCTGGTGGCTGGTGCAAGCCTATTTGTTGGTTCACAGACAACCTCTTCTCACTTTGTACAGACTCAGCAGAAGGGGCACAAGAACCCTCTGGGGTCTCTCTTGTAAGAGAACTGATTCCCTTCACAAAAGGTCTACCATCATGACTTAATCACCTCCCAACTCTGAATTACTGGATGTCTGTGTCCCCCTGAGACACAGCCTGGTATGGGGTCGCTAGGGGTCGTTAAGAATCGGGACACGACTGAGTGACTTTTCACTTTTCATTTTCATGCACTGGAGAAGGAAATGGCACCCCACTCCAGTGTTCTTGCCTGGAGAATCCTAGGGACGCGGGAGCCTGGTGGGCTGCANGACTGATGCTGAAGCTGAAACTCCAATACTTTGGCCACCTAATGTGAAGAGCTGACTCATTTGTAAAGACCCTGATGCTGGGAAAGATTGAGGGCAGGTAGAGAAGCGGGCAACAGAGGATGAGATGGTTCGATGGCATCACTGACTCAATGGACATGAGTTTGAGCAAGCTCCAGGAGATAGTAAAGGACAGGGAAGCCTAGCAAGTTGCAGTCCATGGGGGTCTCAAAGAGTTGGACAGGACTGAGCGACTGAACAACAAGCTAAACACTACATCAAAAAGGAGAAATTTTCAGAAGACAAAAACACAAAACTGAGTTATATCCTGCCAACAACAGACATAGTAGGTTCAAAGATACAAAGATGTTGAAAGTAAAAGAAGGTAGAAAAAACATAACTAGTAACTGTAAGAGCACTGGAGTGGCTACAGTAACATAAAACAAAAGTAACTTTATGGTAAGAAATATTACTGAAGGCAAAGAAAGACATAAATAATGATAAGTTTAATACATCATGAAGGTATGCATATCCCATATAACATATCCCACATAATCCCACTGTAAATGGATGTACCTAACAGAGCCACAAAATTCATGAAGCAAAACCTGACAAAATTAAAAACACACAATTCAAGAATTACAGTTGCAGGCATCAATACCTCACATTCTCAGTATCTGATAAAACAAATCAGTTAAGGATAAGAGATTTGAACAGTCCTACCAGTAATTTAACCTAATGTGCATTTATAGAATCCTCTGCCTCAAAGCAGACATTTTTTCAAGCACTCAAGGAACACTCTCCAGCACACATCAAATGCTATACTGTAAAATAATTCCTAATAAATTTTAAAAGAATTTAAAATACATTCTTCAAAAAATAAAGTAAGTTATCTGATCATAAGGGAAGTTAAATTAGAAATTAACAATAGAAATTTGAGAAATCTCCAAATATTTGGCAAACAATATACTTCTATTTAACCTGTGGATCAAAGAATAAATCACAAGGAAATTTATAAATTACTATTATTAATAACTTTACACAGACAAATTAGACAACTTGGGTAAAAAAGGAAAATACCTAGAAAGACAAAATAACCAAAACTGACTCAGGAAGAAGCATAAAGTCTGAACAGATCTGTTAAATGATTAAATTGATTTGGTAATTTAAGATCTTCTCTCACAGAAAATCCAAGCATAGATGGTTTCATTGGTGAATTTTATCAAATATTTAGAAAGAATAATACAAATCCTTCACAAGCTATTTCAGTAAGCAGAGGAGGAAAAACCACTTCTCACCTCATTCTAGGAGGCTGTTACCAAAGCCAGACAAACACATCTATAGAAAACTACAGAGCAGTATCTCTCAGGAATACAAACCCAAAAAAACCCTTAAGAAAATATCAAAAAAGAGAATCCAGCAACATATAAAAAGGATTAATCAATACCAAGTGGGATTTATATAGGAATGCAAGGCTGGCTTAACATCTCCAATTTAATGCAATATACCATATTAATGGGCTTCCCAGGTGGCTCAGCTGGTAAAGAAATCTGCCTGCCAATGCAGGAACAGCAGGAGTCATGGGTTTGATCCCTGGGTTGGAAGATTCCCTAGAGCAGGAAATGGCAACCCACTGCAGTATTCTTGCCAGGATAATCCCATAAACAAAGGAGCCTGATGTGCTACAGTTCATGGAGTCACAAAGAGTTGGACACAACTGAGCAACTAAGGACACGCTCACCATATTAAGAGTAATAAACAAAAATCCATGATCATTTCAAAAGACATGATAGCCATTCATGATAAAAAGAAAAAACAAACTAGAAACAGAAGAAAGCTTCCTGACCTAATGAAAGGCATTTAAGAGAAATTTACAACTAACATCATTCTTACTGGTTAAAGACCAGATGCTATCTCCAAAGATAAAATAATCAAGGCAAAGATTTCTCCTCTCACTGTATTCAACACTAAACTAGAATCTAGTGAGTAAAACAAAGAGAAAAAAAGAATCCAGATTGTAGAGCAAGAAATACATTTGCCTTTACCTGCAGATGGTATGATCCAGTACACAGGAAATACTATGGGATCTGCAAAAACATACTAGCCTAAAAAGCAAGTTCAGCATGAACACAAGAACAACATAAAAACTGTGTTTCTATACAGCAGCAATAAGAAATCAAAAAAGAAATTGATAAAAACTCCATCAAGATAGCACCAAAACAAATACAATGCACAGAAATAAATTTAACCACAAGAATACAAGATCTATATTGAAAACTTCAAAACACTGCTGAGCAAAATTAAAGACCTAGACAAGTGGAGAGGCATTTGATGTCCTTGGATTGGAAGACAGTGTTTTTAATCTGTCATTTCTTCCCAACTTTATCTATAGGTTCAAGACAACACAATCTCTATCAAAATTCCATCAGGTGTTTTTATAAGAATTGACTGAATAATCCTAAAATTTATATAGAAACAAACTTTTGACTGAGAACAGCTAAAATAATTTTTTAGAAGATTAAAAGTTTGGAGGACTTACACTACTCAATATCAAAACTTAATTACAAAGCTACTGTAATAAGACAGTGTGTTATTGGTGTAAGGATAGAATATAGATCAAACAAAGAGAACGGAAGTCCAGAAACAAACCCATTTATGATCAACTGATTTCCACAAAAGGTGTCAAGGCAATACAGAGGGAAAAGTCTTTCCAATAAACAGAAAACAGTCTTAAAAATGTGGTATATGCATACAACAGAATGTTATTCAGCCCAAAAAAGGAACAAATTACTGACACACGCTATGCCATGGATGAACCTTAACTATATCATACTAAAGAAGTTAGACACAAATGTTGATATGATTCCATTTACAAGAAATGTCTAGAAAAAGCAAACATCTAGAGACAGAAAGCATATCAGTGGTAGTCTGAGGCTTGACAAGAAACAAGAAATGAATACAAACAGGCACAAGGAAACTCTCTGTGGCAAATGGAAATATTCCAAAACCAGACTGTGGTCATGGTGGCACAACTGTGTAAATGTAGCAAAAAAATCACTTAACTGTATACTCACAGCAGGTAAGTTTCAGGCAGTGTAAATTATTCCCCACTAAAACTGTTTTAAAAAATGATAAAGAAGGTGCAGCAGTTCCCCATTCCTGGGGACATAAGTAGAGACTGAATGAACTTCTATTAGGGCCACTAGAGTGGAGCCCCATGACCTTCATAATTGACCTCACTGTCCCTCACTAAGAGCCTGTGGTCTTTTTGACCCAAAGTGCTGGTATATACATTTTTTGTGGCTTTTCCCAGTTGCTATTCCTAGGACTATAAAGGAGAAAACATTTGTGACTGATTTTCCAATATTTCACTTGAAAACACTGAACATGGAATATTTTTCACCTTTCGTCCTGTAAAGGCAGCCCGATGAAGCGGCGTGTCTCCCATGTCATTCAATACATTTACTTCTGCACCAGCCTAGTGAACATGAAAGCTTTAAACATCTTCCACATATCAAGAAATATACAGAGGTGAAAATAATTTCCTAAGAATACAGTAAATATTTTAAAAAATTAAAATACTTAATAATGACTGGTTGTCACTAGTAAAAAAATAACTCAGTTCACATTAATATACTCAGTTGGCCAAAAGGCTCGTTTGGAAAAACCCAAACGAATCTTTTGACCAACCCAAAAGTAAGCTTCGTGAAATGAAAAATCTACTTAACAGAAAATAGCTTCTTTTGTTTAAAAATCTATCTGCCCTTCATTCTACTTTAGAAACAAACATTAAAAAAAAAAAAAAAAAGGAAAACCATCTCTGAATAAAACAGCATATTTTTTCCACCAATTTAATAAGTCTTAAGGGAAAAAAGAAACAGACATCACAAAGTAAATGGTGGGGGAACTGGAGCTTCAAGTGCTGCCTTGGCTCCCGGATTTCATATTTGGGGCCAACAAATCAATTTTAAAATGTAATCCAATTTCAGAAATATCAGTATGAGTGAAAAATTATTCATCACAGAACTGAGAAATACGAGCTCTTAAATTACACAGTGCTCATTAACAGATTATGACATTATTTTTAAAATATATAAAATGTGCTTTGGCTATTTTTTTAAACTATGCTCAAAAAAACAATGTAATATCTCCATTAATTCCTATGTTTATTTTTGCAACTTTAAAAAGTCAATAATGTAAAAAACAAACAACTAAAAAAACGAGAATTTTAATTAAGCTAATCAAATTTGTGTACTTAGCAAAGAAAAATCAAGTGATAAGCGACTGCTAAGGCCATTATGCATGATGGTCCAAACGGCTTTTCCTAAGACTTCTCTAATTTACAAAGTAGCCATATTTTCTATTCATTGAAAAATCAAAGCCATAAAAATACCTTTAACAGATCCTGGACCACCTGTCTATGTCCAAAGTAGCATGCCAGGTGAAGAGGTGTCCAGCCCAAATTAGACTTACTTCTTCCTAAAAAAAAAAAAAAAAAAGGAAAAAGGCATTTTTAGATGTTTTTGAGGTAACTTTATAGTAAAATTTCTCCCTAGTAGCTGCTCCAACATACTGGTCAGGGGCTCCCTTTCACCCAGCACTGCTGATGTGTGAGAGGCACGAAACTTTACACTAAGAAGAGTGTGCAGTGAGATGGATTAGGACTCAACAGGGCCCAGATTCTTGCCACCTTCTAACTCAATGTCCTCGTTCTTAAATGAGGGGCAGGAGACCTGATGGGGGTTACATTCCGACTAGTCTGTGGCTCTAACATGCCAAGTGTCTAACCATTTTGCCACCATCAAACGAAGATGTGATTCTCTTGGCCATAGCATTTCATGAAAAGCACCTCTTTTTGAAAACCTGTCCCGCGTTAGCAGGCTGGGTAGGAAGGGGAAACTAAGAACCAGTCTAAGATGTGGTTCTCTTGGCCATAGCATTTCATGAAAAGCACCTCTTTTTGAAAACCTGTCCCGCGTTAGCAGGCTGGGTAGGAAGGGGAAACTAACAACCAGTCTTGCCTGTGTCTGGAAAGCTGTCAGAGCTGCAGATAAAGACTGAAAACGGAGTCCTGACTTCATATAAAACCTTAGGGAAATGAGGGTAAGGGTTACCAGTGTGGTCGAGTCCAACTAGAGAACAAGAACCAAAATAAAAAGCAATAAAGATCAGGAGCCAAGATGGCGGAGGAATAGGACGGGGAGACCACTTTCTCCCCTACATTCAAAGAAAGAACATTTGAACGCTGAGCAAATTTCACAAAACAACTTCTGATCGCTAGCAGAGGACATCAGGCACCCAGAAAAGCAGCCCACTGTCTTCGAAAGGAGGTAGGACAAAATATAAAAGATAAAAAGAGAGACAAAAGAGCTAGGGACAGAGAGCCGTCCCGGGAAGGGAGCCTTAATAGAGGAAGTTTCCAAACACCAGGAAACCCTCCCACTGGCGGTTCTGGGGGAAGTTTTCGAATCTCAGAGGGCAATCTAACTGGGAGGAAAAATAAATAAAACCCACATATTACGTGCCTAATAGCAATTCCCAGCAGAAAAGTACCCCAGACGCCCGCATCCGCCACCAGCAAGAGGGGGCGGAATGGAGAGGAGCGGCATTGCTTAGGGTAAGGACCAGGCCTGAGTGCCCTGAGGGCAATCGGAGGGAGCTTTTGTGAGATAGCAACTTAAACTGTGGGATAGCAAAAGAGAGAGAAAATTAACCAGCCCAAACACACTGCTGGCCGTTCGCAGAACAAAGGGTCTGAGCAAGTCCAGAGAAGAGCTAGCGGGCTGTGGACCGGCCCATCCCCGCCGGAGGCAGGGGGGAGGGGAAAGGGGCAAACTCGGCCCCAGAGACGGCATCCCCTACCACATTGCAAACAGGCCTCCAGTTTCTAACCAAAGACTTCCTGAGATTCTGGATGGTCGACATCCGCTGGGAGGGTCGGGGCTAAACACAAGGCGCACGCACCGGACCGGCGCGGGTGGAAACTAAGGCTGGGGCCGCGGGGGGAGAAGGCGCACCGCACCTGGGGAGAGTGCGCCTGTCAAACTCCTGGCTGCCTGAGCTGCTCCGG